ATCAAACCATTGTCGAACTCACGCTGATCAAGATGGCCAGCAACTCTAGCAAACTGCCAGCGCTCCACCGCACGAAACAAGAGCTCCTGGATAGTGACAGGGCAGTAATTGTCGGGGTTGGCGTCGGCCACATCAATCAACATCCAAGAGGTAGCAGAGGTAGCCGCGATACCAACCCGCTGTAACGAGGCCAACAGAGCTCCGAAGGGGCCCCTGATAGAAGACCAGGGGTGCTCCAGCCCAGACAGGTCCCCATGAGCCTGGCGGATCCCGGAGTCTAACGCATCCCTGGGAAGCCAGGAGCGCCACAGGGCAAGAAGGAAGGACCTGACGGGAAGCCACGTGGCCCTGAAGATGGGGCCCAGACGGGGCACAGGAGACCGGAGCAGAGCCAGGGTGTGAGACTTGCCATCCTGGCGATGGTCTTGCAGCTTCCAAGCCGCGCCTCGAAGGACCTCCAGCTCCTTACCATTCGTGCCCATGACCGAAGCCCCAAACAACGCCGAGGCCCCCGCAGACGCTCGAGTCATACGCCCGAGCACACGGCGAGGAGCCTAGAGCCATTCAAGAAGCCCATCCGAACCAACCTGGGCCGCATGTCAGAAACGCGCCCACGCACGGTACCACGGCTGGCCACAGACCCCGCACCGAAGTCCACACCGAGGTTGCGCCCGGACCGAACGGGAAGGGGCTGGAGGCTCTTCAGCTCACGAGCGATGGCATTCCTCACCACCGCTGTACTCCCAAGAACTCTGGACTTGTCCAGCGCGGTGCGCAAGTCGATCCTGCTCAGGCACTGGGTGGGCAAGCAGCTCGCCTGCCGCTGAGATGTCGTCGACAATACGCGACTCCGCGCCCATGCGCATGAGGCCGAAGTCGTCAACAGTGACCGACAAACTGATCAGCGGGCCGCGCGGCCTGCACAGCACCCAAAGGGCCTCGCAGAACAAGTTGTAACATACATGTGTCAAATGTACACCCTGTAACAATCGCTTGCTCAACCTGCAAAAGGTTGCCAACCTCACCCCCAACATCCAGGACCCTGGGAGCCCGATAAAACTGAACCAGCAGGTACACTTGCCAGAAAGGGAACGCGGCCGCCGCCGCGGCGTGCTGGACCAACTCAAAAGCCTTCTTAAGATCTGACAGAAGGGTCGCACACGACCTGGCCTTCTACGTGGAATGCCCCGACCAACCCGCCTGAATCCAGACACATTTCTTTAAAGACTTCCCATGAGTGGACCAGAAAAAGGAGCGATACTTGGCCTGCTGCTAGGCTCGAACCAGAGGGCGCCTCAAGCGACACTGCACACGAGCCAAAGCATGCAAGAGGCCCAGGGGCCTGACCTCCTCCCCCCCAGCTCTTTTCAGGATGAACACAATCCGATTCCACATGGCAGGCCGCTCACGCTTGCGCTCCACATGGCGAACGATGTCACACAGCGCCTCCAGGGCAGGTGGCGGCAAAAGTAAAAACGAACGGGGCTGGATCTGATCAAACCCCGCGCCGGTGGTCGCCTTGAAACTCCTGGTAGCTTCCACCAGCACGGCCACGGTGGGCCGCGGGGGGGGTCCAAGCTCAGGCCGCTGGAGAGGGGGGCTGCACTCCTCCCTGCCGCCATGTTTCCACTCAGCCTCAAGAACTTCGATCGACTCAAGCGAGGCACGCGGCCTGAGGGTCCCTTGATGAACAACTTCGGACTGCCACGGGACGGGGATGCTCGAAAACTAGCACGAGGCTGACATACCCCCAACAGTGTGAGAGCCCACCCACTTGTTCCATTCCTTCTCCTTGGCCTGAACACAGACCACGCGCATCCTCGCGGCCTCGCCGTCGGCCATCTCGGCCAGGCAGGCGGCGCTGAACGAGGGGGGAAAAGTGAACGTGCCTCAGCATCGCCGACCACGCGGCGTAGTCGGCCGCGCCAGGCAAACGATGGAAACGAGAAAGACGGCCAGCGGCAGCAACAAGCTGTGACCTGAACGGGCCTGTCGGCACACGGCTGATGTCAGCAAGCAAATTGCGCACCTTGCCCCACCAACAGGCGAAGGGAGAAAGCTTCGGAAACCTCGGCGGGGCTGGCTTGGAGGGGGTTTTCCAACGGACACGGAAAGGTGTATCCCTGCCCACGCAGCCAGCACACAGGCTCCCAGAAACCTGAAAGACATAGAGCCAATGGGCCTCAGCGGCCCTCAGAAAGGCACCCCACTTTTCCAAGGCCAAGAGGCCAGGGCAACAACGCACTTGCCCAACCTGCCCCCGCGGATCAACTTGAGGGGGGGGGGGGGGGCAAGACAGCCGATGGGGAGCTGCGCGGGGAACTCCTGAGGAACCTGCACATACCTCACTTCACAGAGCGGCTCGACCGACGGGACGGCAAGCCTGACAGAAAGGCGAGGGGAGATAGGAACATTGTGAGGTACTTCGGCCCTGGCCTGACCTGCAATGTGGCGCGAAACCACGAACAGTCGATGCACCTCAGGGCTGGCCTGCACGTGC